AACTCAATTGTGTTGCCGTAACTTGTGGTGTTGTTCGGCAACACAACTTCGTGAACAATGAAGCGACAGAATTATCACGAATATTCAGAACATCGTGATATTACTATTAATATTTATTATATATTACTATGAAAACACACTGAAACCTTCTGTATGAATTATTCCGCAGTTTGGCACTTTTTTCCACCAATTTCAGTGGACTAGCTGGAGTTCCACGATGTACTGAAAGTATTACACAAAATTCACCACCCTCCCCTCCTGTTCTAAAAAAAATTGGTGACATTCAAAAAGTATAATCGAAAATTTTTGATCAAATTTGAATTTTCTTATGACGACTTGATTACTTCAATAGAAATTTAAGACATTAGAGTGACGTGACCATGAAGCAGGGAGCAAAATAGGGCCCTGATATGATAGTTTTCAATCGATATCAAAGAAAAAATAACACCCGAGCAGTTTATATCACTGGATAATCATATGTTCAATACGAAAATTTCAATATTAACATTACATTAAAAATTCGTAGAAATTCTTACTTCTGAAGTATTTTTCGTCTTTTGTTACTTCTAGAGGCGTAGTGAGAAATGCCAGCCCAAAGTCCGAAATTTTTAGAACAAATCTTCCGTCTATCAAACAGTTGCAAGATCTTAATTTCCCGTGGACTGATACCTCAGAATTGTGCAAATATGTCATGCCCTGAAACACATATGGTCTCAGGACCTGTTTTTGTTTCAAAAGACGTTTAAAAACCTTCACTATATCGTATATTAGGGACATTCGGAAATTCCAGTCCAGATGAATGTCGTCATTTTCCAGAACGTCTTTCAAACTTCCTTTTGGGCAGTACTCGGTCAGAATCAAAATAGTTGGTGCTTCGATACAAGCCCCGATAAATCTCACTGTATTTTCATGAGTCACATCTCGAACCTGAAAAATGAATTCGCTCATACAGTTCAATAAAAAATACAGAGATAGTAGACTGGAAACTATTGATTTCATGATTTTGATTCATACCTGTTTTATTTCCCACAAGAGCTTCTTGTTTACATCGACCTTCTTCCTGATAATTTTTTTGATTGCTACTCTGGTGCCCCTGTATAAACCCACAGTGGTGAATATTCTGGTGGCTTGAAGAGAAGTACCAGAAGTTATAGATGCTCGACAACTTGTCAGTCCGTAGGTCTAAAAAAATCTTGATATAGACGGTTTGTTAACTTTATGTGTGGTTCCTAAAGCGAGTCCCCTTTTGAGTTGGTATTCAACGTTGGTAGGTATAAAAATTTAGTTAATGGGATTATCCTTCAGGGCCAACAAACAAATTTAAAAAAAATAACCTCTGATAATTTTTGGATGGCTAGCTTAGATCCAAAACTTCTTCCGGATTCAAGATGGACTTCTTCTGGCCTTATTCTCCAGGACATATTGTTGAGATCAGATACAGTTTTCATGTGCCTTGGAAATAAAAAACGCACATGTATCAAAACAATTGATTATTGATTTATTTCTACTCACTTGTACATTTTGACACAGACCAGAGTGAAAGTGAAAGCCAAAAATACTCCAAATGCGAAAGAACCGTACAATACGATCATATATTCTCCAAGAGCAGCATGAAAATAGTTAAACATAGTTAGCGAAATACGTGTCGAGGTGTGAAAAATCGTTTTTTTTTTATGTTCTGCATATGGTTCCCACGAAAAGGGATTGGTGTTCTTCTTAAATTTCTGGAGGTTATATGCCTCGGGGAACACCTCCCTTGGCAATGTGTGCCAGACCCTCGCTGTTTCGATGGTTGAACGAGTCTTTGGAAAGAGATGTTTTGCAGGTCTCCAAAGTGATCACGAAGGGGTGCGAAGCCTCAACTCGACGGGTTAATCTCGCAGGGACTGCTAAGGGAGGCACAATTATTGTTGATATTTCAGAAGAGCATCGTCCATGAAAATATTTATAAAATTGAGCCAGAACGCCAACTTTTCTACGGTGTTCCAGAGATCTGAGTGAGCTTGTGAGCGAGGCATCACCCACGAGACGAATTGCCCTTTTTTGGACAGAATCCAACAGTTTCAGGGTATGTTTGGGTGCTGCACTCCAAATATGGAAATAGTATTCCAGGACAGGTCGGATCTGCGCCTTATAGATCATAAGCAGCTGACTGGAAGTGAAATAGCTCCTGGCCCGAAACAGAAAACCAAGTTTTCGGGATACACTTTTAGCAATTGATCTCACGTGATCTTCCCAAGAAAGGTTATTGCTGATAGTAATACCAAGCATCGAAATGGATGTCTTCAAAGGTATGGTTACTCCTGACAAGCCTATGTTGGGCACAGTGAGATCGGCTTTTTTAAAGAAAAGGCATGCTTGTGTTTTGTTTGCGGAAAAACAGTGTGTAGTGTCACAAAGGGAGAGAAACTCAAAGTCATTCCACACATAAAATGAATGGAAATGGTAGATAACGAGAGAAAAACAACTACTATGAGTTTCTCTCTCTTTGTGACCATTGCATTTCACTTTGATTATTTGGCTTTTTCCCTAGTTGAGTGTGTATTGTATTATAGTGCTAGAGGTTCCAGTCTTCGATATACTTACATACATATACATACAGGTGAAGCTAATAAAATAGTGTTAATAAAAAGAACATCTATTTATTTTTACCATCATTTCGGCAATCAGGACTGTTGTCCATGAACCCGCACTCGGGCACATCGGGAGGCGGTCCCTCCCTTCCCCCCGGCCAGTGGATTTTTTTGCCGGGCACTGGCCAATAGCTCTTCTCCATGCCGTTGTAGTGGCCGACCACCTCGAACTTCCCGGTGATGGGGTCCAAGTCCAGCATGGAGTAGTCCGCGTCTCTGTCGCCGTTATCATCGATTCTCACTCTTCCTGTCAAAAAAAACACCCTGTTACTCATAAATTTTAAATTATCGTCGATTCTGACTCTCAGTGTAACAATTTCTCCACATCAGCTTATTAATTTTCTCAGGAATTATATTTGATTGAGTAATTAAATTATCACTCGACCTGACCACTAAGACACCGATTGTCTATTACCACGACCGGAATCCGAGTCCATCAATTATCATAATATTCGATCGTATGTATATATACTCCTCTCATCCAACAAATCTGTTGTGATCCGGCCTGGGTACCGGCGTAGAGATGATGGAGAAAATTTGACTTCAAAAGTATGGCCAGTTTATCCGATGAATCCGTCATCATCCGGCCTGGATACCGGCGTAGAGTAAAAGGCGGACCTCCATATGTTTACCACACACATTAAACTGCACATTAAATATTCGATTTTTATCCAGATCAGGTGATTTTAGAAGAATGTTGGACAAGTTCGCCATCTGATCGCTACCACTGTTGGATTGGGAATTCCTCTGACTTTCCTTTCATGAAAAACACCATGTTGATCATACATTTCAAATTATCCCTAACAACACAGGGATGTCCTAGGTGCGTCCCTTTTTTGTCCCGCGGTACAAGGAAATGATTGGGACATCCAGGGGATGTCCCGCCAGTAGTTGTCCAGTGGACATCCCACCCGGTACATCCCTAGGTTATCCCATTCGTGTCTCTGGAATATCTGATATCCATTCTTCACATTAGAGAGTCATTCAATATCATCAAAATATTGAGTCGAATTTTTTCGAAAATGTATTTCTTCCGGAAAATAATTGTGATGAAAATAAAGAATATAGTCTCAAAACTTCTCAAGAAATGACCATTTTTCGCAAACAGAGATCGTAAATGCATAATGCCCCTCATTTTCAAACACCCAAGAATGATAATAATTATACCCGAATCCTAACAGTTTTATTTATCCAGGTTTCTGTAGTTGTCCTGTTTATAAATCTGTTCAATACATGAATCTTCAGAAGGCATATTGGCCAATGGAGTAAGGTGCGTGCCTGATAAGCTGAAGGTCCCGGGTTCAATCCCAACTAGACCTACATTTTTTTTTCTTTTGTCGAAGGGATGTCCCTGGGATATCCTTGGGACGTCCTAGGGATATCCCTTCTTTGTACTCGGTACATCCCAGGGACGTACCAGGAGGGACATCCCTTGGATGTCCTTTTTGTCTGAAAGCGGATGTCCCTGGGACGTCCCTAGTATGTACTTTGTCCCAGAAAAGATATCCCTGGGATGTCCTTATTTGAAATTAGGGACGTCCCTGGGAAGTCCCTAGGATGTACTCGTGTTGTTAGGGATCATGCATTTTCTGACACTTCCTGTCATGAAAAACACCCTATATTACTCGTAAATTTCAGATTATCATAGATTCTGACTTTTCCTATCATGGAAAACATCCTGTAACTCATCATTTTCCTGTCAACTTCAGTCACTGAGGATGGTCAGTAAGCGAAACAAAAAAATCATGCATGAAATATTTTTTCATTTCGATTTATATGTTGAAACAGGGTACAGATTACTGACCATCAATTGTTCTAAAAAAAATAAGAACGTACTCATGTAATTTTACGTTGTCTGTACTTGGTGTATTAATGGTGCAAAATGAGTTTTTTTGTCATGCATTAATCTTGAGCTCTTATCTCCTTGCCGTTGTAGTGACCGACCACCTCGAATTTCCCGGTGATGGGTTCAGGTCCAGCATGGATGAGTATTATAGTTCACGTCTCTGTCGCCGTTATCGTCTATTCTGTACACCCTGTAATAACTCATACAGTTCCCCGTCATATTTTGTCGCTGAGGAGTGTCCGGCAAGCACAACAGGAAAATAGTATGCAAGAAAAATGTTCATCTCGATTTCGATACTTGAAATTAATAATCAAAAAGAGATCCTCTGTTTTCTGACTCTGTATGTATTTGCCATATCAATCGACATATTCAAAAATTCAAGGTCTCTTTCTAAACTGTTAATATATATGCTTCATTTCAATGTTTCGCATCGAAACACGACCGGTGCCTTTACGAGGGGAGTGTACCAATACTCATAGCGTCTGTACAAAGGAGAACCGTCTTAGAAGAATGATAATGATTTATAATAATAAGATATATAAAACACCTGTGATTCCAGAAAATTCTCTGGCCCACATCCTCGCTGTGATTCCCCTGCCGTCTCTTATGTCTCCCCCCTCCCATAGGGTCTCGTTTAGGGCCATCGCTAGCAGAAAAACGCCATCGTAGAAGGCGCCGATAACAAAATTTATCTGAAAAGCAATAACAGAATGTACCTACCTATATCAGTTTTAAAAATGTGAGTCAACTGACCTCTTCGCCTTCACTGATTGTGTAGTTATAATCTTCCACAGATCTCTGCTTGACTTTGTCAGCAAAATCTTGGAATTTGTCGCTAGTTGGTTGTAGTAGAGATACTCTTAAAAGAGCTTCATAAGCTTTTCTAGCCAATCCGTCATCAAGATCTCCAGCCTTCCAGTCATGCTCACCCCAATAAGAACCCTGCGGAACACAACTATCAGTGCAATCAGAAGCTATACTTATATCTCATTTATTGAATAAATGAATGGAAACTACTACAACAACGTCGGGATATGAGGCAGTGGGGTAACTATACCGTTCGAGGCCTGTGGCAGATTCATCGGATGGGCCCCCTATCCATTATAAAGAAGCTGAACCAACAATAATTGTATTTTTTATTTAATGATACTCATTCATACACTTTTACATGTGGAAGTTCAATAAAAAATCTCTATACGTGAAGTAGGTACACTCGTCTTCAGAAAACATGTCGCGGTTGTACGGTGTAATAAGCGCTTATTTTATTGCAGCAGTGATTTAAAAAGCGTCCATGTTCGAAATGTTCACTGGAAGACGAGTGTGCATACAAATTTTATAATTATAATTATTTGATTTTTCAATATTTCACAATTTACTTCAAATTAAAAGTACCTAATTATCTGAAGTTGAACTGAAATCACAGTTTTAGTTTAAGTGTACACAATTTTAATTATTAAAATTCCTCTCTTCGGACATTCTGTTCAGCAAAAGTGTTAATGACGTCATCAAAGTTGAGAATGATCGTTCGGCACTAGTCGTGGTCACAGGAATGGTGAGAAATAGCAGAAATACAGGGCACATTTTAGGAAAGCTTGAAGATATAAAATTATTCTTTATTATTAATAAGTCAGGAAGTTCTCTTATAGAAGATGCGAGGTTTCTATTTCGGTTCTAAAAGAGGATCGAAACTGAGAATTTCCTTGGAAAACGAGATAGATATATCTATTTTATGTTGATGGATGAATGCTGAAGTATTTCCCAATAAATCAGTAGGTATTATTCAAATTTTTGTAAGTATATGTTTGTCCACTCATATTTCCGAAATTATTGATTCAATTTTTACCATTCTCTCTAAAACTTTTTTTTTCTAAAATATACCTACAATTTTAATACATTTTTTCAATGGTGTATTTGCAACTAACTGAATAATTTGAATGAATAGAACTATTTTTTTTACAAAATGTGTAATCATGAATGTTGGAAGTTGGGATTTTCCTCAGACTGGGGGCCCGTGGCATTTTGCCCACTTGCCACCCTGTGGTAGTTACGCCACTGATATGAGGAGATGCTACCTCTGTAAGCTCTCTACTGTGCTTATACTTTCTTTACTGAATGAATGTAAACTACATGCCCGTGCTGGCATTTTGCCCACTTGCCACCCTGTGGTAGTTACGCCACTGATATGAGGAGATGCTACCTCTGTAAGCTCTCTACTGTGCTTATACTTTATTCTTTACTAAATGAATGTAAACTACAACAACGACGGGATATTAGGGGATACTGATTCTGATGAGGTAAATTTAGGTAACCTACCTGAAATATTTCTACATCTAGGAATGTCCAGTCACCCCTTGTCATCCCTAATGCATGAGCTGCCAGCATGAATTTTCGAACCAGGGAGCCTCTAACACATAAAACCACAACTGCAATTATTAAACAGATCCTTCTATTAGACATTAGACTTTTGTCAGATACAGATCACAAATCAAACAAATCGTAAGAATTAAGAATAATACATGTGTAGATGTGTATGCACTTATTCCTGTATGATCTAAGTGTATGCATGTGTGCTTGAAAGTGTATGTTAGGTTGCATATCTATTAGGGTTCATGAAGATAAATTACTGTTGAAGTATCCCAGTTTTACCTCTTGCATACATGCTTGCGTCTCGTAGATAGTTGTCGAAGGATTCATCTTCGTTGCCGTCTAATTCTTTTTCGAATGCTAACATTCCTCCTTTCTTCAACCCTTGTTCTAAAATTTTTCCTGAAATCATTCGTTATTTCCATTGACTATGAAAATTGTAGATATTATCAGAGCCTCGGTGGCGCAGTAGGCAGCGCGTAAGTCTCATAATCTTAAGGTCGTGAGTTCGATCCTCACCCGGGGCACTTTTTTATTAATTTTTTTCGAAATCCATAAAAAGAATAAAAAAAAATGATGTCAGAAGAGGGATTCGAACCCTCGCCCACAGAGTGGACCAGAACGCTCAATTACCCATCTGATGGGCAAGGAATTTCCTTGAGTCTGGCGCCTTAGACCGCTCGGCCATCCTGACATATAATAATTCTAGTGATAAAGTTTCTGATAAGTGAAATACGAAAATAGAAATAAATACATACCTTGAGAGCTGGTTTGGTGGTGAAGTTTTGATTTTGTGACACTTTAGAATAAACTCGTATATTATTATTATTGTCCGAAGGTGGTTTCACAATACCATTAGCTTATTACCTTCAAGCTGGGTTCATAGCACGATTTATTGATTCAATTAAACAATTAACAATCAGGAATGTGAAATGTTTTTCGATATGAGGTGATTTTGGTCTACACAATTCATGAATCCATAAAAATATATACCAATTAAATATCACACCAAACTCTATGTGACCATCCTACCTACTTGAACAATAAGAAAATTGTTAAGTCAGTTATAAGTTATAATATAGGGGTTTGTTTATTTATGTGATTTGATTTGTTTGTGTGAATTTATTAACTGAAACTGTGTTATGGCATTAAAATTCAATGTATATATGACGAGGTGGCCGAGTGGTTAAGGCGTTGGACTGCTAATCCAATGGGCTCTGCCCGCGTGGGTTCGAATCCCATCCTCGTCGAATTTTTTTTTTAATTCGAATAGGTATTCAATTATGTGTTATTCTTTCTATTTTTGTGAAAATCATTACTGGGGTAGGTAATTAATGTCCTACTCGAAAATATTTCATTTCGTTATTATATATATATTTTGACTGTGTGTCTACAGAAATGTTCGAAAATAAAAGATATTCTCCTATAGTTTTATGATATATAGAAGGTAGAAAAAGTACTCACCTACAGTAAGTGAAAATACATCCGATCTATCCAAAATCAACGCAATGTGTTTCCAGGAAAATTGTTTGAAAATACTGGCGAAAACCTTGGTTAGACGGCATTGGCAATACGACATTCTAGTTAGAGTTGGATATTTACTCTTGTCATTTAATATCCCCTGAAAAGGATGAATTGGATGTTATCCTGTACTGTGCAATTACTGCCAGTGACTGGCTTTTGCTATAAATAATATACCGGATGAAACAAAAGATCACGATAACACCCAGCCTTTTTTTATCTAAAATCAATAATTGAGGTTACTTATATATTGATTTATATAAATCCATATATGGCAAATGTAAAAACTTCACAAACGATTCACGAAGATTTCCACGAAATTGCATCATGAATTCTCACCAAGCATTTTATAACATTCTTCAAATTGGCTTTGAATTTAGGAATTGAAGTATCAAAAACACCTAATTTAGCAAGTTAGATTAAGCTTATGAGGATTCTTTTACGTTCAAGAGTTTCTAAACCGAATTCTTCTCTAATAGGACCGTAAGAAGTGTAACTAGAAACTAGGAGACAGTTTATATTTTTTGTAATATAGGAATTTTAGAAATTTATTTTGGATTGTTTCCATCATTTTTTTCATTTTTTGTTGTCCTGGATCCCATATAGTACAAGCATATTCTATCTTGCTTCGAACAATTGTGATGAACAAGTGTTTAATGACATTACTTGAGTACTTGAAGTCACTTTGAAATATTACTCCAAGGTCACATATTTTGTCGACTCTTTCTAAAATAGTATTTTGCATAGTGTAAATGAAATTGTGTCTATTATTGTTCCGAGAGAACGTGATAACTTTACATTTAGATAGATTGAATGATAATTTATTTTCCAAAGACCAATTCAATATCAGATCAAGATCATTTTGCAGTTCAAGATAATCATTGAGATCTTGAACTTTTCTATAAATCTTAAAATCATCAGCATATAGCAAACAATTGGATGAAATCCCTTCTGGAAGGTCATTGATGAAAATTGAGATAAGTAATGGACCCAGATTTGACCCTTGTAGTACACCTGAGCCCGCCAAGAATGAGTGAGATTCCTTACCTTTAAAAGCAACATATATTATGTTGTTCTCGTGCCTTCAGATATGAGACGAAAAAAATCATTAAATGATTACTCAATCCGTAGAATTTTAACTTAGCCAATAATAATATATCATGAGAAACCTTGTCGAAGGCTTTAGCAAAATCCGTGTAAATGCAATCAACTTGGATTTTTTCATCCATACTTTTACTTATATTTGTACTGAAAGTTAATACATTTGTTTCTGTTGATCTTTTCCTTGTGAATCCATGTTGGAAGGATACAATATAATTTTTCAAGGCAGTATGTAGTTTCTCGTGAATAATAAATTCAAAAATTTTTGCAATACAGTTTAGTACTGCAACCGGTCGATATAGTTCAAATTTTGCACCTTTTTTGAAAATTATTACCCACTAAGAAAACAAATTCAACAGTGATGAACTATTGAGGTCTAGTTGATCGTTAAGTAAAATTTCGAAATTATCATCAAAACTATGATGAATGAATAAATTCATGATAAACACGATTTTTCAAATTTCCATATACTTCCCACACTGATATCACTATTCATAATAATTTAACACACCCTCATCAACATAAAATTGCAGCATAATTGTATGATACACAGGCTAGTGAATGTCTCTCTTTCGGATGTAAATTTCCATAACGAACTCAATATCATAAAACAGATTGCAGTCAACAACGGATACAACGATAATTTGAAAGACAGTATATTCTTTCTAGAAAACTCCATAATAAATAAGCTATTCAAGAAGTAATCTTTGGAAGAAGTCCATGGTCCATTCAAGAAGTTTATCCTACCATCGAAAATAATAATCAAAATTATAAAACTTTAACCTATTTCGGATCATCAACTGAAAAATTAGCTTCATTTCTACATAAACAGGACAAGACGCATACATAGAACAAATAACACGTTGGGAATGTTCATAAAAAATAATAAAGACAAAACTTCTGAATTCGAAAAATCAGGGGTATACAAACTTGACTGTGGATCTTGTCCTAAGGTATATATCTGTCAGACAGGTCATACATTCAAGCAGCGCATTCATGAACATGAGATGAATTTTCTGAAAAAGAAAACAAATTCAACATACGCCAACCATATATCAGGAGAAAACCATAATTTTGATGATAATTTCGAAATTCTACACGTAGAAATAAAGGAATTAAACTCAAAAATTTGAATCACTAGAAATCAATCAACTCAAAAATTCTAACATTTTAAACGATCAACTAGACCTCAATAGTTCACCACGGTTAGATTTGTTTTCTTAGTAGGTGATAATATGTATCAACCCTTTCAAGTTTCACATTAACAATGTATTTATATACCTATGTCCCCTATGTGATATATATCCGGGAAAAAAGTACTCACTTTTTCCCGAGGGTATTAAAGTAATTTATGAAAAGTAACATTTTATAACCTGTTAACTTTCAAACTTAAATCCCATCATAGAAAAAAAAAAGTTTTTCTCAAAATATCAACACCCTATAGCTGGAAATTGAAGAGGCTTAGGGCATATATATTCATATGACTTTTCTTTTTATGATGAAATAACCATATTTGCAGCCATCAATTAAATTACACTCTGTATAGTACGAAGGCCTGGAAGGGACACATAAAATAAAAAAAATAAAAACTCTTCAAAATTCCGACTTATAACTCGGAATTTTAAAATTCCGAGTTATGTAAAATTCCGAGATATAAGTCGGAATTTTACATCCAATATTCCGAGTTATAACACGGAATTTTAAAATTCCGACTTATATCTCGTAATTTTAAGATTCCGAATTATAACTCGGAATTTTAAAATTCCGAGATATAAGTCGGAATTTTAAAATTCCGAGATATAAGTCGGAATTTTACATCCAATATTCCGAGTTATAACACGGAATTTTAACTCGGAATTTTAAAATTCCGAGATATAAGTCGGAATTTTACATCCAATATTCCGAGTTATAACACGGAATTTCAAAATTCCGAGTTATAAGTCGGAATTTTGAAGAGTTTTTATTTTTTTTATTTTATGTGTCCCTTCCAGGCCTTCGTACTATTCGAATCAGCCCTATCCAATCAATTTCCCTGGCTGGAGCATATCCTAATCCAGACTGTTTTCGGCTTGTATTTGGTTCCTTTTATTTTACCTAATTGTTTCTCATCTTCCATGCAGATGAGCAATTCATTTGAGTGCTTTCGTGGTCCAGTTGATTGGCGCAAAAACAATTAGCCAAATGTTCTCTGAAATCGAGTTGATTTGAGATACCTAATTGCATAATTACGAAACAGTTCCAGTAGTCTGCAGATTGTTCAAGGTCGGAAAATAATTACAATGTACACGCCCGAAAGTACTTATACCGAGTGACACAGGAGACATGTAACCGAGCATGTAACAGCCTGTAGTTTTTTATTTGAAGAGATTAAAATTTTAAATTCACAAGGGTTATATTATCGATGATGGCGCTTCTCTTGAACCCAATGACAATTTTCTTCAACCACCTGTTTGATTGAAAGTAGACCCAACTTTTTTTTTTCAAAAGCACCCTGTATATTTCTGTAGCCTATCTTATTCGCCTCAAAATTTTCTATTCAACTATGTATCACAATTTGATATTCGTTTATTGAAATACATGAAGTTGGATGTGGCCCGGATACAATGACATTTCGATGCTTGATGGATGATCATATTTATGGCTGAAATGGAAGCAAATAGTTTCTTCACAAGTAGCCTAATGAAAAAAAACGAGTTTCTATCTTGGTTTTCTCAATATCGTGAGTTATTTTCAGATGATTTTTTCAAACTCAATGAAATAATTGGCAATCTTCTGGGACCGGTTAGGGTATGGACAATATTCTGATAATATCGTCTAAGTCATGATCTTTGGAATTCTAAGCCTATCAAGCATCAAAATGTCATTGCATTCCTGGGGTACATTATTGAATAGAGAATTTTAAGGCGAATAAAAACCATCAAAAAATTCGGTGTATCGAAATTAAATTCAAATTTCGTATAATTTCCACTTCCTGATCCCTTCCGGTTTCACCGGAAATGACTCCAGTTTTGAATTTTCAAATGGAATACCCTATATATTATTACATTTTCGAATTTCTGAGACAATTCTGGATGGAATTTTCAGAAGTTTTTAGGCGTGGTTTTAAAAGTTGGTTTCAAGCACGCTATGATGAGTTATTTGAATAAGCATAGTAGAGAACGAATATAAAAAACATGTTCTTCTCCGATTGGCAGCAAATATTAATTTTGCTGACACATATCAATCAGCAAAGTATTACTTTTCCTGCCTAGGCAGCAAAGTGGGTACTGTGCTGCCTAGACAGCAAAGTGGTTACTTTACTGATTGATATGTATCAGCAAAATTAATAATCCATAAATCGTTTATAATTTCCTTCATATTTCATCCGAGACTTCTCCGGCAACAAATTCAACTCTATATTTTTTGCCACCTCCCTCATTTCTGGAGCTTAAAGTACTTCCAGGTCGCTATCACTGTCCATTATATAATAATTTGAATAATCGGATATTTTTTCGCACAACTGTCAGAAATTTCATGAATTGTCAAACTCTAATTATTATGGACATTTCCATAGCAACCCCAGACAGCACCAGATATTCCATGAATCTCCTTATCATATTCCTTTTGGTATATTGGAATATTCAAGAAATAATCTGGAATATTCCGGAATATCTGTGGAATATTCTCTAAATATGCGAATGGGAATTCCTCAGATAATCATAGAATATGCCCAAAAGAATATTCTATGTTGAATGTTCCTGGAATATTCCAATAAACATATTCTAAAATTAAAAAAAGTGACCCAAGTAGGGATCGAACTCGTGACCTCAAGACTATCAGAGCAACGCCTTGACCACTAGGCCAGTGATCGAATTGAATAATTTTATACATATCAAGTTCTTGTGAGAGCATTGTTCGAAATCGGATCATAAACACTTTTTGTTTCAAAATCCCCTTACATCTAATTGATGTTCGATACTCATATCTCTGAAATAATAAATTGTATTTATGTGTTGAGAAACAAAGGAATATTCATGGAATATTTCATGAATATTCACCACCGAATATTCAGTTGAGAATATTTCATGAATATACCGCACAGAATATTCAGTTGGGTATATTTCATGAATATACCGCACAGAATATTCAGTTGGGTATATTTCATGAATATACAACAGAGAATATTCAGTTGGGAATATTCCTGGAAGATTCATACCTGAATATTCCCTGAACATGTCCAACTATTCACTTTGGAATATTCCTTTTAGATGTTCCAGTGGCATATATATATTCTAGGAATAATCGATGAATATTCGGAATATACTCCTCCTTTTTAGCATATTTAGAGAATATTCTATGAATATCCAGTGCTGTCTGGGACCAACCATTCCAACAACTGCGATTTCTATCAAATTTTATTTCAATTGAACATTACAGGAAAAATAAAGAGATATATATATCATTATGAACAATCGGAGAAAAAATTATATGTTCAACTCGGCAGCAAAGTAGATTGACTGCCTTAGCTGGATTCCTAGCCTCGCTACGCTATGAATTCAGCCTCGGCAGTCAATCTACTACTTTGCTGCCTAGTTGAACAAATAACTATTTTCTTGATATTTTCCATTAGAGACTGTTAATTCCCCTATTCCCACTAGAAATAGACAATAAGTGAGAGGCTAAGAATATAGTAGATATCTCAAGTGTCCAGCTTAGGAATCCAAAATTCAATGATTATAATTCAGTACCCCCTCAAAATTTCATTCTCGGGCCACACTCTTCTGTGAGTTCGTTTTCTTGAAAAATTCGCTCAATTTGCCGAAGTCCATGTTGAGTTGAAATTGCTGAGTTGAGGAAAAAACCAAAAAACATCCTGTTGAGGCACTTACCGCAGTATTGCTCCTATTTTTCATATTATATCTTCTGAGTAATCGCGAAGCAACTGAAATCTCTCCTTCAGATGGTGGCTAAAAATGAAGAAATATCAAATTTAGTTACCTGCATTGTTACAGAATATACCAGAAACATGAAATGCAGATAAATAAACACAGTATCGGTGTTCTGAATATGACTGGAATATTCGGAAATCCGAACCAGATGATTCGTCTTTGATTTTTTATAGTTGCTGCACATACCGGGTGTTTATAAATATTATGTACATTCTATGACTGAAGAAGGTAATTCCGAAACTTGAGTTCTTGTCCTAATTGGATTCCTTTTCAAGATACAGGATGGATGGAAACTATTCGAGGAGAATTACAATCTGATTCAATCTCAAGTATTCATAGGGACTCGGAAAGCGTATATCACCCTGGGGTCCCTGGGACAAAACTAGGCAATTTATTGAAAAGTCAGGAATTTACGAAATTGTTTGTAATGGATTGTGGAGAACTATATATGCCAAACTAGGCGACCCATTGAAACAAGGTTCAAAGAACACATCGCACAACTGAAATATATACCAAGTAGGTACTAATGTCACTGATGTCACGATCGAAACACACACATCAAAAACAATAAAATGGTCAAAAAGTTGAAAATTAGATGAATATGAAAGCCTGGAAATAGTTTGGAATAGTAATAGAAGCATGATAATAAAAGACCTAATTCCATAAAGCAGGCTGTAGATAGTTTAGTGATTTAGGAAGTAAACCTATTAACGGCACTCTAGGATAATCATTATTTTGTTTTAATCTTCTTATTCTCTTATTCTGAATATGCTAACAACGCAACACTCTTCTTGACGACTCCTTATTAAATCGGTTTGGTTAGGGGTAAAGCAGTGTAGTGCTATGGAGAAATAAAATGGGCAACAGAATAAGCCTAATAATAACATACCTGATCTCCCATTCCCGTTATTATTGGGGTGTTCCAATAGGCAGCTAGTCTGGCAACTGGCTCTAAGGCAAACAGACAGGCCGGACCGACGAAAGCTATCACGTCAGATATGAAGTGCATATCTGCTGCTAGACCAGGTGCTAGAGATCCACTACAAGATGGGTAGCTGAAAAGAACATTGATGCTGGAAATGTAGCAACAATGGCTAGAAGTATGTCATTTTCAAATTACACAAATAACATTACCCAGACAGCAGAGCATATTCTATGAATATTCTGACAACGTTCAAATATACTTTTTTCAGAATACTGTCATAGCATGTTCTCAGAATGATCATAGAATATTCTCATTATGCAAAGAATATTCTATGAACATTCAATTTGATATATTCGCAGAATATTCTTCTTGAACATTCTGAGAATATTCTTTTTTGAATATTCTGAGAATATTGAGAATCGAATCAAAATATATGATATTGATGTTCCTATTCTTGTATAAATATTTATATTGTTTGAGAAGATTCAATCACAAAATAGTATGTCCGCATCTTCCACCAGAGCAAGCTTTTTTTATTTTCTTCCTTCTCCTTTAATACACTAGGAATATTCTCCTCAGAATATTTATAACAGTCCTTTCCGAATGTTCATAGAAGGTCCCTAGAATATTAGTATCATAATTGTGAGAATATTTTGAGAATATTCAAATATTCTCGAAGAATATCCTATCGACGTTCTATGAATGACATTGTGCTATCTGGGTATTATTACCATACCTGCCACAGGCGGGATATTCATTCATTGGGACAGATATAGGGTGATCATAATTCTTGAATCTCGAATCACCCCATATTTTGACCAATAATGAATAGTTTCGACACAATAAAATCCTAATGTTGAAAAATCTCGATTTTGAACACCCTATACCTCTGTTAACATTGTATAGAAATGAAAATAATTTTAGATGACAGTTCTAATGAAACCCAATAACTATGTTACCTGACGGTTTGGCTATTATCGAAGGAGAAAACATTCTATAGAAGAGAAGAGTCAATATATTGACTCACCCTGTTGAGGACCAGAACAATCTAACTTGATGAAATATCTGTTAGATACCTACTTGAAAGCTACATTTATTGGAACATTGAAAAAATCCTGATTTATCGATGAATCGCACTAAACTATAGGGAAAATGGCTCTCGATGAAAATCGCTGAATTTTTGGTATGTTGCAGACTTTGATAAACGAACGAACGAACCTCAAAAAATTGACAGTTTTTCCGATATAGACCTTCAAATGTCATTTTTTTCACAAAAAAAAGTATCTGAAAATTGTTGAATTTTTGGCATGTTGTAGATAGGAATGAACTGATGAAAAAATCCAATAACCTCCAAGAATTGACAGTTTTCTCGATATTGACCTCCAAGTGTAATTTTTTCAAGTAAAAAAAATCTCTGAAAATGGCTGAATTTCTGGTATGTTGTAGATAGGAATGAACTGATGAAAAATTCCAATTGACCTAACCTCAAAAAATTGACAGTTTTTCGATATTGACCTCCAAGTGTACGAATGGAAAATAAGATGAATGGAACAATAATCAATAATATAGTTTAATTAATTGGTATTTGGCCTTTCATTCTCCTTGAAACAAATCTTCTTCAAATGATACATGCACATCAGGTGAAGAAAACCGGAGAGGAGATGTAATTAAATAAATATTATTCAAAAGATGGTTATAGTCTTTCCGAAATAAATGGGGTTGTAGGTATACACTCTAGTCGAATTTATGCCATAATAATATATCTATTTTATTTTGATCATTCCACCTATTATAAAATTCGATACACCCCAAATATATTTTTTTTTTAATAATCAGCACCTCTCAGCAACACAATTTTCATGTATGAAATATCGTGAATTTCAATACGATATGTAAAGAGATCTGAAGAGAAAACGGTCTGCGACAGTGAACAAGGAATGTCTATATTTTGAGGTTAGGTCAATTGGATTTTTTCATCTACAACATGCCAAAAATTCAACCATTTTCAAATACTTTTTTTTCTCGAAACAATGACATTTTGAGGTCAATATCGGAAAAACTGTCCATTTTTTTGAGGTCAGTTCAATGGAAGATCTGTTCAGTATATAAAAGTCTGCAACATACCAAAAATTCAGCGATTTTCATCGAGAGCCATTTTCCCTATAGTTTAGTGCGGGATCCTTTAAAGTTATCGTAGTTCATTGCCCGGAAAGTTTGATTTCAGCCCCCTTGGAAATTTGTCTGTCGACACCCATGTTGGACGGACTCGGACCCGAAATTTAACCGAATTACTCCATTCGAAATTACATAAAACATGTATAGTGTAGTGTTTAGTTTAGTCCCATTCATCGATTCTCTGAAATATGTAAATTCCTCTTGACATTTATATTAAGTATAGAACTGCGACACTTCGTGATCGTGACATTGGAGGATGTTTCCTATACCTATACACCTCTCTATACCCTGCTCTACCCCTCGGATGTCTGATTGCAAATTATATGTTGGTATATGGCGGGTACAGCTGAATACAAGATACAAGTGAATTTAGTGAATTGCTAATTAATCAACATCAACATTACGCGTTTCTATCTGAATTACCATTCAGGATACGGACAAGGCTTTTCATTACAACAAAAACGAAGAAAAAGTATTATTCCCTGCGTTATACCACATCTCGAGAAATCTACATGATCGTATACAAAAAAGTCGAAAAATCAGTATATTTTGATCCATTATCAGCTCCAGTCTTTGAAACGTACCGTCTCACGTTTTTACGTCCCAGGACGTATGAAAGACGTCTCAAATGAGTATACATACAGGGTGTGTCATGACGAGCTTACACTATCTCTATATCAAGAATCAGTCGGGAGAAATCCATGAAAATATGCGTGCTTATATTTTAGAATACGCTCTCTTCATTTAAAGTATTTTCAGCAATTCAGTGTTGCCGCTTCTATCAAAAAGTAGCAACAACTTTGTTATTTCGAATGAAATACCCTGTATTTTATTGCATTTTTAAGTTCTCCCTTAAGAGCTGATTTCATTGATATATCACACTTGGGCTCTATCGGAAATGATTACAGAGATATAGGGTGTTCAAAATCTAGATTTTTCAACTTCAAGATTTGTTCGTGTCGAAACTATTCATTATCGGCCAAAATGGCTCACATATCCCTATCTCAACTTTTGATTTACTATTTAATAATATTTAATCGGAGCAGATACAGGGTGATCAGAATTCTAAATCTTGAGCCCTTGCCTTAGGTGCCTTTTGTGGTAAAAGATCGGGACTTTCATTGTACCTATAAGAGTCCCTTGTAGCCATCTTAATAATTTTACCAGTTGCTCAATGACTAGGGGTGGGAAAATTTATCGATATATCGATACAAAATAATCGATTTATCGATAATACGGATAATGCCAATTTATCAATAATATCGATTTGTTGATCATATATTGATCATACCGATAATATTGATAATACCGATAATATTGATAATATCGATAATTATCGATGAGTATCGAAATATAATTTCCGATTATTTTTGAAGATGTTCGGAATTCCTGTTGTTTCGATATTGCGAAGTCACACTTATTGATCTCCATGCATCGACAGGAAATGGATCTTTTCATTAAATGCTCATTCATTGAAGGTTAAGTACGTTCTTCATAAAAATAATACATTATAATATTAAAAAGGAATATTCTCAGATATAATTATGAACACAAAAAAATAGATATATACAGTATGACCCACTTCTAATGGAAACACCCCTCTATCTTACGTAATTGTTGGGTAAGGATCCTGAAATTTGCTGGAGCGTGAGATTTACCAAAAATGCACTCTATGACCAAGTGGGGTCATCTTCAGTGATATACACTGCTTGCCAGCAGCCATGAAACCACCGCAATTTCCAGAAAATGATATTAGGAGTCAAAATAGATCGAAAATCACTTCAGATTCGGAATCAGGACGCCGAATTCACTAACTATTCATATTTTTCCTGGAAAATTTTCAGTTCTGAAAAATTTAATTTTGTCGCACTTTTTACGGAAGCACTCCCTCATCTTACGTGATTGACTTTATCTTTGGATTTTCCCTTCCTCCTGCAAATTTCAGAACCGTACCTCAATAATTACGTGAGATACGGGGGTCCTTCCATGAGAAGTGAGACAAAATTTAATTCTTCTGAACTGAAAATTTTCTAGGAATACTATGAATAGATAGTGAATTATTGGGCGTCCTGATTCCGAATTCAAAGTTATTCCGAATGAAGTGATTTTCAATCTATTTTGACTCCTAATATCATTTTCCGGAAATTGGGATGGTTCCATGGCTGTTGGCGAGCAGTGTATATCACTGAAGAACCCACTTGGTCATGGAGTGCATTTTTGGTATATCCCTCGCTCCAGCAAATTTCACGATCCTTACCAAACGATTACGTAAGATGCAGGGGTGTTTCCATTAGAAGTGGGTCACACTGTATACAGGGTGTTTCTTAAGTACGTGTTGAAAATTCAGGAGCAGGTTGCTGACGTCAAAATAAGCAGAAAAGTTAGTATAAATATATATCCGAAAAATATTCGTTTCTGAGATACAGCAGAGAGTGTCTAAGTTGAATTCTTATTTATGTTTCTTTTGCTAATAAATTTCAAAATAATTATGATATTGGAATAAAATTTGGTATATATCTACCCCCACGAAAGAGACAAACTAACATAATATTTGATATTGTCATTAAAAAATACCCCCTCTGATACCAAATTTTATTCCAATATCAAAATTATTTGGAAGTTTAACAAAAATAAGAATTTAACTTTGACACTCTGTATCTCAGAAACTGATAACTTTCGGACATAATGTTTATACCAACCTGAATTTTCTACACGTACTTACTTAATAGAAATACCCTGTATATATAAATCCATTTTTTTTTTGTTCATAATAATTATATCTGAGAAAATTCCATTTCATAATATGTACCTTGAAAAAAACTTTGATTAAATAAGAAGGGGATATAGCTCAGTGGTAGAGCATTCGACTGCAGATCGAGAGGTCCCCGGTTCAAACCCGGGTGTCCCCTACTTTTTTATTTTATTCCCATTTATTACAATAGTCGGTTATTAGGT